CGAGGAGAAGAAGAAGAAGAAGAAGAAGAAGAAGAAGAAGAAGAAGAAGAAGAGGAAGGAGGAGGAGGAGGAGGAGGAGGAGGAGGAGGAGGAGGAGGACGATGATGATGATGATGATGGAAGTGGTGGGTCAGAAGAATTGTTAGGGTTAGTTGGCGGCGGAGAGGAGGAGGAAGAGGCAGGCGGGGGGAAGATGGTTGGTGCCGTTCGAGAGGCGCAGTTAATCCGAAGATGTCCAACAAGTCCGATTCGAGCCCTGAATGTCCGTTGACATCGAGGACACGTTGGAAGCGGTTGTGCGGTGGCGTTGCGTACTGGGCGAAGTTGTGATTTGCGGGCTTCACGTTTCGATTTGGCGGCAGCGATGCGGTTGGCTTCGTAGATCGCAGCGCCTGTCTTCACTGTCCTCCTCCAGGTCGGTCGATCGAGTGCGATCTCCTCCCAGTTGGTCGGGTTGATTTGCAGTAGCTTCAGGGAGGACTTCAGGGTATCCTTGTAACGGCGAATCTGGCCTCCTTGACGGCGAGAACCCGTCGCGACGTCTCCGTAGAAGAGTCGTTTGGGAAGTCGCTCGTCGTCCATGCGCACAAGGTGGCCGCTCTAGCGCAGCTGAATTTGCCTCAGTATGGCGTAGATGCTGACCATTCCCGTCCGTTCCAGCACATCAGTGTCGGGGATGCGATCCTGCCAGTTCACCCGCAGGATGCGACGAAGACAACTGAGGTGAAAGTGGTTCAGACGGCGTGCCTGCCTCCTGTACACCGTCCAGGTCTCTGCTCCGTACAGTAGCGTCGGCAGGATAACGGCCTTGTACATCTTCAGCTTCGTGTTCAGTTGAAGACCGTGACGATTCCAAACTGTGCTTTGGAGACGACCGAAGGCTTGACTGGCTTTCGAGATCCTGTTGGCGACTTCGTCATCAATCTTGGTGGTGCGGGAGAGAGTACTGCCCAGGTACGGGAAGTTCTCCACCATTTGCAGGTGGGTTCTGTTCACGCTGATTTGCGGCAGCGCCTTGGGGGCTGTGACTGAGTCGGGTGGCGGTTGGTGCATCACCACCGTCTTCTGCTTGTTAATGACCAGACCGAAGTTCTCGCAGGCGGCGGAGAACAGGTCCATGCTCCGCTGCATCTCCTTTTCTGAGGTGGTGTTTAGGGCGCAGTCGTCGGCGAAGAGGAGTTCGTGAACGGTTGTTGTGGATACGCGTGATTGGAAGTGCATCTGCCGTTGATTCAGCAGGTGACCGTCCGTCCTGTAGGCGATGCGAATCCCGGGGCGTTCGTCGCGGTAGGCGTCCATCAGCATGGCAGAGAACATGAGACTGAAGAGGGTTGGTGCCATTACGCAGCCCTGCTTCACTCCGTTGGTCACTGCGAATGCCTCTGTGACAGCTCCGTTGTCCATGACTCGCGCCATCATACCGTCGTGCAGCTGACGTACCATCTGAGGGAATCGCTCCGGACAGCCGAATTTCTGCATGATCTTCCACAGTCCTTCACGATTCACCGTGTCGAAGGCTTTCGTCAGGTCCACGAAGGTAGAGTACAGGTGGGTCCGCATCTCCTGACACTTCTCCTGAAGTTGACGGGCGGCGAAGATCATATCCGTGGTCCCACGATGACGACGGAAGCCGCACTGGCTTTCCGGCAGAAGGCCCTGCTCCAGGTGGTTATTGAGGCGGTTGAGAAGGATGCGAGCGAAGATCTTCCCGGCGATGTTCAGCAAGGAGATGCCACGGTGATTGTCGCAGACTAGGCGATTCCCTTTGCGCTTGTATAGGTGCACGATTGTTGCGTCCTTGAAGTCTTGAGGGACTTCACCTTGACGCCACATCTCCTGGAAGAGCGCAGTCAGGTGATCCATGAGTTGGGGACCTCCGTGCTTGTAGACTTCAGCAGG